TCATTGTACATATACCCACACATATATTGTATTTTTTACACACCACCTACTATATCTAAACACACTGAAGTGTTACCCTTTGAATTCTAAATTAAAGATTATTGTTTATAACGATTATATAAAACCCACTTCTTTTCTTTATTCGGAATCGGACACGAATTGTCGACATACCCCGACAGAAAGAATAACATTTCTGGTTTGTGCGAATGCAGAAGGGACAAAAAGGATAGAACCTTTCGTCATTGGGAAAGCGCAAAACCCAAGATCATTTCGCAACAAGATTTTGCCGGTTAAATATGATAGCTCGAAATCTGCATGGATGAATGCTGCAATGTTTAAGAAGTGGTTTTTTTGAATTTTTGCTCCAGAGGTATGTTAAATTTTGCATTTATGAAGCCATAAATTGCATTATAAATCATCTAAACTCATTTTCAGGTGGAACGTTTCCTAGAAGATAAAATGCTTCCCAAGAACGCGCTTTTGTTGTTGGATACCGCGCCAAGTCACCCGCCTGCCGATCAGTTGGTAAAAGAGACCGAAGACGGAAAAATTTGGGGCATGTATTTTCCACCAAATGTCACTCCATTGATCCAGCACATGGATCAGAATGCGATTAGACTATTAAAACTCCATTATCGCACCAGCTTGTTGTCAATGGTTGTGACCTCAGTGGAAAGTCTTGAAACGTGCCTTAAGCAAACCAACTTATTCCAAGCTGTCTCTTTACTTGCATTGGCGTGGAAGAAAGTATCCCAAGAATCATTAAAAAAATGCTGGAACAGAATTTTTAATGACGACGGATTCGACAAAGAGGACGATGTTCCTCTTTCCATACTTCAGCAAAGTGAGGAAAACCTCGCGACCAGAAACTCTTTACGTTTATTAGAGCGTGCGTTTCCAAATGTAGAGTTCGATGTCAACGATGTGGCCGAGTGGAATAATGAGAATATCATCGACGATATACAGACGTTTAATGACCATGACGAAGAAGAAACAATTGTGGCTCCAGCCGAAACGCCAAAGGTAAATCATGTGGATGCAATAAACTGTTTTCAAACATGTATTCAGTGGGCTGTTGAAAACCAGATTGACTGTTCCAAAACCCTTTTACTGAGAAGCAGTGTTGCCAGAACTTTCTGGACCAACCGGCTAAATTGGCAAAAAAACCGACTAAACTGTTTCAACTAAATTTCACATGTTTTATTTAAATAAATCATAAGTAGAAAGACTAGTTCTTGGAGAGAAGTTGCAAATTCAAGCTGGAAAAAATTTTGGCGCCAAGAATTTGCAATTAGGAAAAACATATGATTGTGGCACGTGGTTGCATTTTTTGTCGACAATAATTTGAATAAACAGGTTCGCCAAATTTAAAAATTTACAAACTTGAGCAATTTTAAAATGAAAAATTTAAGTAAATACTTGTTTACTTAATTAGTTTAGTTAATTCCAATGATTTGAAACGTACTCGTAATGCAATCTCAACCCGAGTCGATATAGGAAACGCGACAGTTAGTACGGCAAAGAAATGGAAACGTATGTTGAAGAAAGTCGGACTAGCAAGAAATATACATGTAGATCCTGTTTTTTTGTCCCTCTGAAAGAATTTTAAAATTCTATACAAATTTCTTATGTTTTAAATGCAAGTTCCTG